ATATATATATATATATATATATATGTATATATATATATATATGAGAATTTAGAGGAAAATATCCTTAACTGTCATGAAAATATTTTTCTTGATGGTCCTAAATATTTAACAAAAATATTTAATAGTCCTAAAGCACAAAGCATAAAATAGGGATATTATACTTAACTTAAACTATAGTAAAAATAAAATATATTATTATTCTTTCTTATATATATATATATATATATATATGTATATATATATATATATGAGAATTTAGAGGAAAATATCCTTAACTGTCATGAAAATATTTTTCTTGATGGTCCTAAATATTTAACAAAAATATTTAATAGTCCTAAAGCACAAAGCATAAAATAGGGATATTATACTTAACTTAAACTATAGTAAAAATAAAATATATTATTATTCTTTCTTATATTTTGTATTTAAGAACTTAAACTTGTTTTATTTCATTTCTGATTTATTTCATTTAATCTAACCTGACACACTAAAATAAATAAAAATTATACAGACAGATTTTAAAAAACTGACAAATGACAAAAACAGAACAAAATTACTAAAATGTTAACACTAAAATTAGGGCTGTCAGTTTAACGCGTTAACTTAGTTATGTAAAAATAACGCGATTAAAATATTTTAACGCAGTTAATGTACTGGGCCCGCCCCCAGACCGGTACGTCATCTTACATTTCATAAGCTGTGTCCCCAAATTATGCACTATACACTCATACACGATGTACTTATGCACTCAACCATGTATAGTATGAATTATATAAGGTTATTTTGTCATTCATAATCTTAGTCTGATAGCCCCTCCCTCTTCGGTACGTAATTAAAGCTGTGACAATTGAGTGCATGAAGTGTCCAACATTCCACACTTCATTTTTTCAGTTATTTAAGTGCATCATTTGGGTATTTAAAGTGCACTTTTTCTTTTTGGAATTTTCAGTGTGAACGCACTCCTCACACTATTTATAAAACAAAACACCATAGAATAGTGCATAAGTACTCGATTTGGGATGCACCTATACAGTTGACTGTTGACACATATGATGCAGGACAGCAACTCCATAAATGCAGTTATGCCCTAAAATTCAAGATATTGGGGCAAAAAATGCTATGTAAACACAATATTGTGTTTTTGTTCAATTTTGCCAATGAAAATATTTGAAAAAATAAATTGTTGCGCATCTCCGAGCAGCACAGCGTCGTTCAGTTTCTGGATGAATCCTCGTTTTGAACGAATCGTGTGAATCAATGATTCAGTAGCCCATTCACAGAGAGAGCCATTTACTGAACTACTGAATGAATCAGCCGTTTGAACGAATCGACTCACTTACAATCCGTGTATCATTCGTTCATTATTTTTTTTATTTAATATTGAAAGTAGAAAAAATGAGAAAACGGCTCCTTTTCTGTTTTTTTTGTTTTTTTTACCAAAAAGCAAAAAATGAGAATTCAGCTTAAATGTTAATTTTTCGTTCAGGGATAGAAAAATGAATAAAAAGCTTGAATATTTGATTTCTACATGTGGGCGGGAATTAAACGCCCCTTTCTGCTGATTGGCCAGCCGAAGATCAAACCGTAACAGACATTTCATTGTCTGTTACCAGGTTTATTACTATATTTATCATATACTAAAATCATACATATAATGAAAATATGTCAATATGGGATTTCCATTAACACAGAATATTTGTCTTTTTTCTTATGAGTTACTAATGACTATTATTGCAGTATCAATAACTATACTAAATATGAACTGAGTAAGTGAATGGAGTGCAGCGTTTAGCTCATTGTGTCAAAGCTTTGCCTCTAAGTAATTAAACAATGACATAATCCATCAGGATATTTTTGCATATGCAAAAGCTAAAGCAGCACAGCAGATGGACTCACTCAGTGGATGTGCTGTCCTGAGGCTCTGAACACACAGCAGACAACGGGACGATCAGGATTTCTCGTGCAGGAAGAGGCTCTGAAGTCTCAGGTGTGGATACATGAGGCTCGTCATCTGACACAAAGAACTGGACGAGATAAATGAGAAAAATCTATCATAGTTAGTAATTCAGTAACAGTAAACAAGCACTTAGAACTTGAGTTTGCACTATTCAAAAATGGTTGTTGTATTTATTTCAAGATTTCAATAAATTAAAACATTGAATTAAATGTTGAACTTTGGATGTAAATGAGGTTACCTGAACACTGTCTTTTCTCTCTGTTGTGGGCGCTGGGGTGGCGCTCTGGCTCTCTGTAGCTTCTTCATCTTCCTCCTCCTCCTCATCTTCACCCTCCTCGATGGCCAAAGCAGCGCTGGGGCTGGAACAGACTCTGTGGTCCTTACTGCTGCTCCGTTTCCTCTTCCTCCCACACTTCTTCCTCCTGCCGTCGCCCGAAAGTTTGGACAGAGGGTGGTGGATGTGATGGGACGAGTGACGATGATCTGGAGACGATTACAGCCGAGTTTCAGTTCTGCATTTTCATATTTATGGCTTTCAACATTTATCAGAGATCTAGAGTTGTAAAATTGGAAAATTATATTTTTAAATTGAGTAATGAAGGTATAAACTGAAAATTGACATCTTATGAAATGTGCTCCTATAAGACAATGTTTTTATTTGTACAATTGCTAATACTATTGCATATTACTTTTGTACTATTGCCGGCTCCACACCCAGGGTTATTATACTTAAACTAAAACCTTAATAAAAAAATTTAATTACTTGAAATAAAATAATTGTTAACCAAAATAAAATACACTAGTCAACATTTAAAGTGGATCAAAATCTTTCATCAAAGTTGTCCTAAAACCTAAAACGCGTTCATGTCTTAGGACAAGTTTGATGAACTTTTTTGATCCATTTTAAATGTTGACTACTATAAAATAAAATAAAAAATTCTTTAAAAAAGTAAAATAAAAAAAATAACTTACTTCAGCTAGCTGCCAAAGGCAAAATTTTTAATTTTCATTTAGTTTAACTTGTAGTACTATAATAACTAAACATTTAATGACAATAAAACTAACAATAAAAATAATAATAAAAAATTAACAAAAACTATATAGGCATTTAAAAACAAACAAACACACAATTCTAAAATTGAAAAGTGACAACATAAAACAAACAAAATCTAATTTAAAATATTAACAAAAACTATAATAAAGTGTATTAATGATATTACAATAACACTGGCTCTACTTCTAATCTATGCATATATAAAAATGATGTGTGTGTGTGTATATATGGGTGTGTTTTTGTGTGCATCAACATTTTCAAAGGTGTCAGAAAAAACAATGGATTTTTTCATTTTTTTAATGCAAAAGAAAATAAGAAAAGGAAAGAAAAAAGGGATGCAAACTTGCATTCAAAATCTTCCTCATTGTAGGTGCGGTGCTGCTCGCTGGGAACTCTGGGAGTGGGGCTCAGGATCTGCTGGAAGCGCTGAACACCTAACGCTTTATTCAGGTCACCTTCCTCCTCTTCCACCCTCTGTGGCACTCGGACAGGTGGGGATGATGACGACTCGGGCTGGAGGGGGAACACTCAAGATTAGGACACCTAGTTCATAACACCCCCC